TTTGGACCAACTGTCAGAGAAAGAGAGAGAGACAGAGACAGAGACAGAGGAAGGAGGAAGAGGAGGAGGAGGAGAAGGAAGAGGAGGAGGGAGGGAGAGAGGGGGGAGGGAGAGAGAGGGGAAGGGACAGTGCTTTTATTCATAGAGACATGCTACAATATTATTGTGAGGTGAGCTTTGCTCTAAGGGCTATGAAGACTACATATATGGAGACAGTCTTCTCCTCTTTCTCTTCTTCCTCCTCCTCTTCCTCCTCCTCCTCTTCTTCTTCCTCCTCTACCACCTCTTCCCTCTTCTTCTTTCTTCTTTTCTGTTGTTGTTTTGTTTTGTCCTGTAAGCCCCTGGACCAGGATGCATCGGATTATGTAGTGTCAAGTCCTGTCAAGTCATGCCTTTTAACTGTCATTGATTTGTTGTGGCCGTAACAGTTCTCCTGTAGGTATGCTACCACAAGGTTAGTGGTAGGTATAAACTTTGTTTAGCAGGCTACTCTGCCAGAATGCAAGCGAAAGCTGACCAACAACTTACTTGAACAAGAATGATTACTAAAAGTTGGGCAGTGATGAAACAAGAAATTGTCAACCCCAGGCAGAGGACCAAGGAAGTAGAAAGTCACTAAGGACATCAGCACACTGGTTCGAGGTGAAAGCTGAGTACATTTTGTTCAGGCGAGTGGTGGAACGCAGAGCCAACAGGCTGCATGCTGTATCAGAGCTTGGCTATGAGAAAAATATCTCAGCTGAATGAACACTGTGAAACAATGAACTGCCAAACAGGGACTCTATCCAGCTATTCTAGTGTTGCTAATTACAGAGCTAAAGTGCTGTGTTATAGGAAACAAATACTGAACCAGCGTGCTAGGAAAGTGTCCCTCATTAATAGTATTTTTAGTTAGCATTGAAATTCCAGAATGGATGATTTATGTTTTTGTGTAGATAGAGAACTGGGAGGTATAGAGGAAGATGTAGAGACACACAGGAATAAATGAGAACTATTGTATGCATTTATCAGTTAGATAGTGATGATTATTCTAGTCTACATAGTGTTCCTGACACATCACACACACACACACACACACACACACACACACACACACACACACCTATCACTATAGCCATCTTGAATTATGACTCTTTCATTCCTTAGATACCCTCTACAGAACCACCTTGCTCAATACAGAGGCTACTCTCAGTTTACATATAGGGGCGGGACTTACAGAGGACCCAATGTCCTCGTGCCACTTAAAGACACCCATCACATTCCTAACTAGGTAGCTTTCCAGTGCTTAGCGGCAGCTGTTTCAAAAGAAGTGGACTTACTTCTGAATCAGAAATCTTGCCTGCCTAATAGAAATGACACTTGACAGATATCTGAGCTGGTCCTAGACTCCTTTTTCTAGAAAATATATTTATGGAGCTTCAAGTGCATTATTCAGTGAAATCCTTTGAATGCCTGCTGTCTGCTGCATGGCTTATCATTACAAATACTGCTTACGCCTTTTCTCTTGTCTTGGCCAGGGCTTTACTCCTAGAGCGTTCTCTGAGTGTACGGACCTTTCTAAGGACTGACAGCTCTTGAGTTTTGCACCTTCCTGTGTTTGACATTGCTTCACCTGCGTCTGTCAGGGAACTTCCATTGATTCCTCTCTACACTGGTTCTACTTCTTCTGCATCTGTGTAACTGTAAACTTAAGCCTCTTGCTTTCCATTCTTTTAAAAACAGATTTATAAATGGTTTAATTTACACACATGTATGCATGTATACATGTGTGTAAATGTGTGCACCCATGTGTGTGTGTGTGTGTATGTGTATCACATGTGTACAGGTATCTATAGAGGCCAGAAGAGGTTGTCAGGTCTCTGCGGCTGGAGTTACAAGCATTTGTGAACTGCCAGGATTGGACCCAATCTTTGATCCCCTGCAAAAGCAGCAAGCACTCTTAACCACTGAGCCATCTCTCCAGCTCCTATGATCTCTACTTAACTTAAACTTCTGTTTTTAGTTTCTCATTTAAATTTAGAGACAGTGATAAACAGCTCTCTGGTGTTTTTGGAATTTGTTTTACTTTGGTCAGAAGACATGTCCTCATGCTAGTATCTGGATTTTGAGTATATATTAACATACTTGTGTAACTTATTCTTTATTATTAAACATAACACACTTTTGCAGGAGTTCTATGTTGGCTCAAAATGAGTGAACTTCTCAGTTAAGCTAAATAGCTCTCGGACTAAACTTGGCAAGGCGCCCACATTCTCTGACTTCTGCTAGCTTTGTCCTCTTGACTTAGCACTTAAATATTTCCACTCAAGTTTCCAACATGCCTGTGGTTGTTGTTTGCAAATGATGTAGAAAATACGTCTTTAAAATTTTTTGTCTAAACACATTTGTCTTTAATCACTGTCTAACTGATTTATTGTGAATAGACAAATAGATGTTTAATTTTCCTCAGATTTCTGTGATTTCTCAAAACCACAGTTTTGTAAATTTCCCTTCTCTCGTCTTAGCTTGATTTCATTGTGACTTCAGTTAGCTTATCTTTCAGAGGGATTGCATGCATTAAGGTTCTATATTGTTTTGTGCATTCACTTACCTAGAATTTTAGTTTAAGGATTTTTGTATATGCAAATTTTTCTGGATTATGACAATGCAGCATCTAGGTATTCACATATATGACATACATCTTAAGTGTACAACTTTGAGTATAGTATACAATATATTCTTTATTTCTCGGAAGCTTACTATATTAAAGTCTCTTTGTTTTTGCAATGCTGTTTATTTAGGTTTTATTTACCTGTCATTTGTAGCGGCATATTTCCCCCCAACCCCCCCGAAAGTTGGGAGGAGCTAAGGTGGGAGGAGTAAGGAGAGGAGGAGTAAGGAGAGGAAGAGGAGAAGAAAGAAAAGGAGCAAAGGGAGAGAGATGGAGGAGCCATTGATGGCCACATTTGTATCGAGAGCAGTCCAGGGTAACAACTTATATCAAGGTTAGACATTGGGACACACCTCTAATTATGTGAGTCAAACATATAAAGTCTTTGATTAACCTTTAAGCATTAGAGTCTCATTTCTACCGGGTACTGCATGGATGGTAGGATGGTCTGGGCTCAGCCCAACCATGTGGAGACAACGTGGAAGATTGGCAGAGCCATCTCCCATGCTGGTGTCTTGTGGGTGGCAGGACTGGTGTTTCCGGCTGGCCGTTCCTAGCTGTGGCATGCACGCATGTAGTCTCTGGCCGGGAACATGGCGGCAGAACTAAGCAGAGCTGCTGTCGCTTAGATAGTCAGCCCAAGAAATAGCCGTTTTAAAATATTACTGCAACAGTCATTCATACTTGCTTGCTTTCTCACTTTTATCAATTGTCATAGTTCATTTGTGTAGTCTATCCTCCCAGACCTATCAGGAGTTGCTGTCCTCTGAATGGTATGGCTCGTGCCTATGATCCCAACACTTTGAAGTCTAAGGCAGGAAGACTTGGAGGTCAGCCAGCAAAAGTACACACATTGACACTGTCACAAATCAGAGAAGAGCTGCTATCCATGGAGACATCATGTGTTCTGGGTTCTGATTATTTGGTTTTTACTCTTTAGTTAAGATTTTATTTTTATTTATATGTATGTATATATTTGAATGCAGGTTTATGCAGATGAGTGCAGTGCACAGCGGCCAGAAGAGGGCTCCAGATTCCCTAAAACTGGAGTTATGGGCAGTGAGCATCTGAACATGGGTGCTGGGAACTGAGCTCAGGTCCTCTGCCTGGGCAGTACATGTCCTTAACAGATGAACCATCTCTCCAGCCCTGTACTCAATTTTCAAATTATATATTTATTATCACTATCATTATTATTTGTGTCTGTGTTGCAGGGTAGGGTGAAGATACATGCCTCCAGAAGTCAGAGCTTGAGCCTGTGGAGTCTGCTTCTCCATCTACTTTTACAAGGGTACCATGAATCAAAGCCCAGACATCAAGCTTGTGAGGCAAGCACATTTACTGGGCCACTTATTTTTACTTTCGATGTGGTTCTACAGATGCCTCCAATTTAGGACCCATTATTGACTCAATCATTTTTTGGAGACACATGGTATTGGTATTGCTGAATGGCCCAGGTTGATCTTGAACCTCTAGGCTCATGAGATTTTCCGTCTCCCATCTCTATGATCTGTTTTCTTTTTTTTTTTAAAGATTTATTTATTTATCTTATGTATATGAGTACACAGCAGCTGTCTTCAGACACACCAAGAGGCATCAGATTACATTGCAGATGGTTGTGAGCCACCATGTGGTTGCTGGGATTTGAACTCAGGACCTTTGGAAGAGCAGTTAGTGCTCTTAACCACGGAGCCATCTCTCCAGCCCCATCTATCTATCTATCTATCTATCTATCTATCTATCTATCTATCTATCTTTTTTTCAAGAAAAACTTTTGTTTTTAGTTTTTCAACTAGATTAGAAAGGATGGCAAACAGCTCCCTGATATTTCTGTGACTTTGTTGTACCTTTATTCTGATTGTGGATCATTTCTCTGAGTCACAACAACTCCAAGGGACAAATAGTTCCATGGCATAATTTAAAGCGATGATAACTTCTATCACATGATCCTGGGGATTTGTCTCAGGCAGGCTGGGAGGCTTAGTAGAAGCATCTTTACCTGCTGAGCTATATTGCAGGACTGAAATCTTGATTATGTTTGTAAAGAAGGCATGAAAGTAGAAGAGACCATTTGGGAAGGGGATGGGGTGGTAACCAGCAGGAAGGGAAAGGAGGATAAGAGAAAGAAGTAAGAGTTAATACAGTCAAACTGTTACCTATCTATCATCTATCTATCTATCTATCATCTATCTATCTATCTATCTATCTATCTATCTATCTATCTATCTATCTATCTTTTTTTCAAGAAAATTTCACAAATTCCATTTCTTATCCAGCAACTATTAAGATAATAAAATAGCCTCATTTTGAAACTAAATGGCGTATTCCTGGCAAGCAGTGCGTGGCATACCTGCCCCAGGCTGCTTCGTTTGTAGACGCTTTGTTAACTGGAACACAGGAGGAGTCGATGACAGCCGAATTGTTGATCTTGTAGCAGAAACCGCAGTCTGGGTCCAGCATGCACTCGTTACAGTAACTGAAATGGCAAAGAGTTCAAGTCAGGTTGGCCTGGGCGCCTGGCACTGGCTACATCCCAGTCTTAGCGGCCACCTCCACAGCCCACACTATTTGATGAGCTCTGGCCAAGCCAAGTGATAAGAGCAGATCCAGGGGATAGCTGGAGGATCACATTCATCTCTCCATGCAGATGACAGCAACTGTGGAAGCTACTATGTGGTAAGGGGAGGGCACAGAGCAAGCCCAGTAGACGTGCAGTAAAAAAAAAAACAATTGGCTTCCTAAATCACTGATACTTATGACAGACTGACCTATCTGGATCCAGCCTGGACTACTTCTGGGTTATAATAAAGCATCTATTTCTTATAAGTGTCTTCCTCCTCTTCTCCTTCATGCTACATCTATATTAAAAACTGAAAATGTTTTCTCTCACATATATGCATACGTATTATATACTATATTGTAGACTATATATCTGGAACAATGAAAGAGAATGTCTGAAGTAAAACTTTAACAAAAATATAAATACCTCAAATCCAGCCATTGCTAAATTCTTGGTGGGCCTTTAACATTAACATATTGAGTCCCAACTCTGCACTAAATCGTAGCTACAAGCTAATGGGTGTAGGAAGAAATGCTGCTCTGTGCTAATTACACCTAAGGCCGGATGACAGAGAAACATTCGATTAATCACTACTCATTTAACGGTACTATTGAACAGCAGATACGTTTGAAATGGGCAGAGTCTCCCAACCCAAGCCTAACATCACTGGTGTGGAATGAGTTTTCTGGCGGGCACCCCATCATGTAATCGCAGTTCTACAGCCCTTCATGTATACTTCAGATACATGCAGCACTCACTGGTCATATTACAGATTAGCAAGTAAACATTCTTGATTTGCGGCAGATGGAAGGAGAGGATGAGAAACAGATGTACATTACAATAGTCATAACAAAGACAAGGGCTGATTTCCTACCTAAAAGGTAGAAGGGGATTCAAGAGCTGAAAGTAAGTTCAGAGGTAATGTTTAAACTAAGTCCGAAGAGAAATTTTCCAGAGAGAGTAAAAGGACATTACAGAAAACCGGTTATTTGGTTCTTAAAGACCAATCAGCACAAAATTAATCATTCTCACTCTGCCCCAGTAATTGTCCTATGGAGTATCAGAGGAAAAACAGTCCATCAGAGAAGGATGTCTGGGAGACGCATAGACTCAAGGCATAAAGGATAGCATTTCCCAATCCTCCAAGCTGAAATGGCCTCCGTGGCTCATTTAACTGAACATGGACACACCTGCATGGTTTAAAAGTTAGATTCATTTTCATGTTAGAGTCCTGATGTCTATTTTTCCCTGTTTGAATGAGACTTTTTGAATGTCCTAGACTCAGGACACAGGGGAGATCTGTACGAACTCACCAAAGGTCTGATTTTTGATGGTGTTGTTTACCTTTGAGATTGGTAAGGGAAGGATACTGCCTTTTCTCCAAGACATCTTACTTCACAGGGGAAACTAAAGGTATTAAGTGTGAACTTTGATCAGCTTTAAGCTCTGACAGGAGCAAAGCCAGATCTGTCCTTAGTTCTTTTCCTCCAGGCTCTGAAAACAAGGAGCTCCCTGTGTCTGAGGACAAGAGCTTTGCATTTTCTCCCCCCCACCCCCCACCCCGGCCATCACCATGACTTATACTGTCAGAGTGGTTGTGTTTTTCTCTCCAAACACAGTCTATAGTTTATGTTCAGGGTCACTTGTTTCCCGTATTTTATTTTTTTTAAAGAAAAGAGTGTGGAAGCTTCCTTCCTGATACTTCTTGTGGATCCCTGGGGTTTTCTCCATGAAAGGAAGGCAGATATCGAAGCCAAAGCACTGGTTTCTTCTCCATCTCAGGAGCAGGCTGCTGTGGAGAATTCATATTGCCAGTCCCTACTTTAGCATGGAGCTTTCAGGCCTCTGGAGGTGAAAAAATGTTCCACAGGACTCTGTCATCCTTGACCTGGATATCTTTGCTTTCCAGCCATATATACTATTTTATGGAAAAAATATTCTAAATACCACAACATGCCTAACACTCACTTCTGAAGTTAACAGTAAACTTTACGTACTATGGAGATCAGCTTAAATGAACTTTTACCGAGAACATATCTTATAGCTGTGACTTTAACAAGTGTCATTAACAGAAAGCATAGCTAGAAGGACCTATTCTTTATTAAAGGTATCCTTCACATACAATCTATCATTGAAACATACAACCAATGCTTGTAGGAATTTGCCAATCACAGGTTGGTTTTCATGTATGAAAGGCAGATATTGAATCTGCTTAGCCCTCAAAAACTGTGAGCAGGAGGAAGCTCTTATTTCTAAACTTGACTTGTTGTATACCAAGAGCACATGACCCCAAAGGACCCATGCATAATCTACCTAAGAGAAATGCATAATTTAACTCTAAAATTCCCACTCCTTACAATGTGGGATCAGGATACTGTTAGGTCCAAAACAGTCCCTAAGATGATAGTGCCCTGGACAAAGTCATAGGTGACAGTCTGTGCTCAGCTCAGGCTGGACTGTGGAAGCAGAAGGACTGCTAACAGATAAACAAGAGCTTATACGCAGTCTTCCTCAGAAGCCCTGTGAAGTGGGTTTCTGTTTGTCAGGAACAGTCATCACTTTCCTTACCTGTTCCCTACTATCGTCAGGCACTTCTGGCAAAAGGCATCAAGTTATCAAAGCAAACTATGAATGCAAACAAACCTGTAACAACAGATCAAAGTCTCCATGCTAGTTCCCAGGCTGCTCTGGACAGTAAACTCCTCCCACTACTCCAACTGTTCTCGTTCATAGGCTCCCTCCGGCCACCACATACCCCAAGAGTTAGCCATGGCAGTCTGAATCTCCCCAAGTAAACCCTCTACCCAGGGAATGCTCCAGTTTCTTCCCAGGGAGTGGTCCAGTTTGGTGCTTTATTTATTATTTTATTATTATTATTATTATTATTATTATTATTATTATTATTGTGTGTGCCTATGCACATATAAAGGGTTGTTGGGGATTAAAGTACAACTCTTGGGAATTACTTTTCTGCATGGGATCCTCGATTGAACACAGGCTGTCGAGTCAGCATAACGAGCACTTTTACCCACTGTGCCATCTCACCAGCACAAGAAATTATCTGTTTAAAAGAAAACTAATCAACAAGCAATTTATAAAAGGACTATGCTCTGTAATAGAGTTGCTGAATGAAAGGAATAAACAGTTCCTTCCTATTGGTGTAAAATCTTTGGAAACCAGTCCTTTGCTTTGCTCTGACACGCCTCTGTGCATGATGCTTTTACCAACCTGTTTCCAACTGTGAATTCTGAAGGGTTAAGACCTTGCTCACAGCTTCTGTGACCTGCACTGTGGCATCTCACCCAGTGAAGGCAGAGTGCACGGCAGCTTTGTAACTCAGGCACTATGGTGGACTTTAGCTTATCCTGGAAAGTAATTTTGGGATGTGGGTGGCTGAAGGTGAACGCCTGGGTGATGTAATAAAATCACTGTCAAAGAACAAGATGCAGCTTCTTTTTGTAGATCACCATAGGCAAACGCTGATATAAACAATTAACAGTTTTAACAGTTAAATGTGGAGGAGTGGGTTAATAATCTTTATAGTTCACTTTCAGGAAGAAAAACTACAAAGCTAATTTCCTTCAGGTCTACACAGCAGGACACACACCACACACACAAAGAGAGAGAGAGAGAGAGAGAGAGAGAGAGAGAGAGGGAGGGAGGGAGGGAGGGAGGGAGGGAGGGAGGGAGGGAGAGAGACAGAGAGACAGAGAGACAGAGAGACAGAGAGACAGAGGGACAGAAGAGACAAAGAGAGCTTTGCTCTAAATTATAACCTTAAAATATCATAGGAAAGGCAGTGGTACTATTAGGTATGTAGGTGGCTACGTAGTATGATGGAAGCTGGCAGTCTTGGTCTAAGGGAGATTGTGTGACACCTGAGACCATGCTAAACTATGGAAACTGAATGAAGACAGAGACCGTGCACCAATGTGGGAAGTACTAGGGAACTGGGAGCAGAAGCCAGGGAAAGAAGTAAGACTAAAGACCAGGCAGCCATGTGATAATTCTGAGAAGCGAATTCTTAGGAGCTGGAGGGAGGAGATTTACCTTAAAAATCTCTAAGGTTTCTTTTTAGAAATGGGGGCAAACACAGAATCATATATTTAGAATGAATCTGGTTCTAAAACACCCGAATGTTTCCAGCTACAGAAGAGAGAAATGAAGGCCCCAGTTTCATGTCTAGCATCTGGTGGAAATAAAAGGAAGCCTGTTGTCATTCTGTAACCCAGTGATGGCAGAGTGTAGAGCTCAATGTAGCCCCCAGGGGGAAAAAAACCTTTCAGACATTGACCCAGGCTAATTTAGAACATTCTTCATTTCTACTCAGAAGTCAATGAATTTGACTCTGTAGCAAACGGTCCAGTTTCTTAAATGTATCTCATTAAAGCATTGCGAGGCAGCATGAGTAGCTCCCAGTCTTAAATCTGCCTAACAAGACCTCAGTCAGAAAGCTGACTGCTGGGATGCAGGCAGTAGCATCCCTTGGACAGTGGGTACAATATGCTCTCTCAGCCCTGACCACGCCTGTAGGCTCCACATGGTGCGTGATTACTCTTTCCCTTCGCCATTCCTCTAGATCGTCCCTACTTTATGACCTCTTTCCTTAAATCCCAATGGCCCGGAGCAGAAGACGTAGAAAACAATTTAGAAGAATCAGAAGGGGCCCTGTACCTTCTGCGAGCCCTCTGCAGGGCCAAGTTTAAATTCTAGAACACCAGTCTCATTTCCCTCCTACAGTATGGCTGCCAGGAGACTTCTATCCCAACTGTATAAAAGGGAACTCATTGGAAAGAAAAAATATCAGAAAACCTAGGGCCACAGATACTAATTTCATAAAGCAAAACAGCAAACTCCACTGCATTGACCTCAGGAGACGGCTGGCATTCCCCAACAGTTAACTTGGAGTATGTTTC